TGGAGAATTTACTGATTTTGGGGGGGCTCTGTACAGGAGATTCAGATCTAAAATGCAAAAGTAACATCTAAAAGTTCCTTTGACACAGAGTCCAGTCTGTATCGTGTGGTTGCTGACATTTTATTTCTGCTAGGCAAACGCAAAGCCACTCCATGAAAATAGGAAGCCAGGGGAAAGTAGCAAGAAGCTATTCACTCAATAACTGCTCTAGGAAGAATGTGGGAAGAAAAGACAAAAGGGAACCACAGACAACAGATATTAACATAGAAGAGAAGGAGAAAAAGAAACCTGGAATAATCATCACACATACACACACCACACAAACTCCTGGGATAAAAGAAGCAATTCAATCTCATGCAGTTGTTCTGACACAATCTAGATGGCGTTGCCTCTTCAGAAGCTTCTGTAGGAATCAAGTGGAAAACAGATAAAGAGGACTCTCTCCATTCCATGTAGCCATGGTAGAGCAGAATCATGGAGAGCAGGTTGGTCTTGATTGGATTTTTTTTAAATCAAAAAACTTCCAGAAGACATTTATTCTGTTTTATGGAATAAAATGTGGCCTAATACAAGAAGTGAAAATACAGCCAATTGAGATCTTAAACTAAATTGTTGCGATTTTGTCCTTTGACAGATCTAGCAACTATAAAATGGGACCAGAAGGAAAGTGTTGATAACTCTCGAAACCCCTTGAGGAATGCAGAAAGGTGCCACTGACGTCCTGGGGGTGCCCTCTACCTTCCTCTCAGACCGGATTCTGCTCTTTTTGTCATGGACCTCCTTTGGCTCTTAGGGTGCCGGGGTTAGTTTGTGTTGTGAGAGAGCCTTTGAGTTTTCATTAGTAGTGACTGGCCAAGAAGTCACTGGAGAAAGTTCCAGTTTTAAAGGTAACTAGTAAAAATTCAGACTTAAGGAAACTTTTTCTTTTAGGCTATCTATAGTTTATTGCAACCTGGCAAAGATTCGTTTTATAAACAAATATTGAAACATTTGCTTTTCTCCAGACTCTGGAAACTATTCGTGAATGTTCTTACATTTATGAGAACATGGCTATGTTATAAGTTCAATAAAAATTTAATCTCTTTATGACAGGATACAATTGGAAATACTGGCTTTGACCAGGATGTCATATTTAGTAATGTGCTTGGAATGACTGGCTTCAAGGGTCCCCAGACTTACAGTGTGTGAGTAAAAGCTGTCACTCGCTGACAAGCCCAGGAACCTCAAGATACTATGTGCTACTGTTAGGTACAGATAGTCTGTACAGATAGTCTGAAGTCTTCCTTGGTTGAGCTTCCTAACCTGGAGGTTTTTAAAAGTCCAATCAGATATTCCTCGTCAAATGTACAATAAAACCAATTGTAAAAGAGCCTCCATGGTTATTTTAGATATATTTATACAAACAATTAGACTAGGCCCATTCTGCAAACAAATTGGTCCTACCACAATTGTCTTTGATTAAAAAGACATTGAGGGTGATTATATAGAAAAAAAAAGTTACACTTCAGGAGAAAATCATAACAGACCTGTTATTTGATTGTAGTCCTGCTCACTGCTTTTTATGATCTACCTGTAGACTGGACTGGATTCTGAATTTTCCTAGGTTTCTGTAGGATTTAGCTATCACTCTCCAACTAAGAACAAAATGAAACTTGGTAGTTTGGCGCTGGGCAACTTGATATAAATAGGCCACTGCTATGGTATGTCCCCCAAGGCCCAGTTGTTAAAGGCTTTAATCACTGCCTATAGCATTACAGAGAGGCGGAGGTACATTTAAGGTGGGACCTAGTGGAAGGAAGTTAGGTAACTGAGGGCATGTTCTTGAGGGAGACTTGGGTGCCCCTTTTCTCCCTCCATTTCCCCTGCCCCCCCCCTTCTGCCACACACTCCTTATAATGGTATACTGTGTAGCCACAGGCCCAAAAGCAATGGGCTAAAACCTCTGAAACTGTGGACCAGAATAAACCTTGCCTTCTTATAAGTTAAATATCTGGCTATAGTAACACAAAGTAGACTAACACGGCCACAGAGTTCACCAAAACATCCGATGTTCCCAATCAGAGACAATCAGACTGCAAAGTGGGAGTGGAAGTTGATATCATGCTGTAGGCAAGTTTTCCGAAGATATTTCAAGACCCTATTAATTTCTCCTTGTTAATGCCAATCTCTTTCACTTTGAAGGATGTTATGGTCTGAATTTCATAATAACAGTAGCTTTATGAGTAACTTGACAATGTTGGATCTGCCATATCAAACACAAACCCAGGTCCTAAAAGATTCTTTGTCTACCAAACGAGTAACTTTAGCAACATCCCTAATGCAACCATTTGTTCAAATTGTCCCAGTGGTCTCTCTTAGAGTTGGCACTCTCTGCTATAATGTAACCCATCCTGGGATGCTAGGTGACAGAATTGCTGCTACTGCCTGAGCAAACAGGAATCTGTATAGTTACTTATACTTCCTGATACACATAGATACACATTGGATATCAAAGAGATCCAGTTGCAAAACTGAACAAATAGGCTACTTGATTTAGACAGATAGGTAGATTCCTCCCCTGTCTCATTCTTTGATCTACTTTATTTTAATTGGTTTGGTTTACCTGGACCCTAGCTAAGGAACATACTTCAAACTCACGGATTATCTTTCTGATAGTCCTAATAGCAGTCCTTCTGATGTTTTATATCATCTCAAAAGTTTAAAATATTTGCAAACAGTCATCCGTTGAACACCAAATGCTTTCTCTTTGGCTGGAATGACAAAAATTGAAAGAACTCTGTGATCATGAGATTACCATAATCAATAGATGGTGTGTTGAGACCAGAGCCCAAAATGATGATAGCTGAGAGTGCTCATGCCCTCAGTTTTTATCACACTCTCATTTAGGTGTAGCCCTGACAACAGAGGGGAATTCTTAAATAAAGTTACAGGACGCCATTGTTTTGAGCTAAGCTCCTGCATATACCAGGCTAAAATCAAAATAGTGTGTCATTCAGGTCACCAAGCCGAAACTAGACTGTTAGTATCTGACCTTAAGTGAAATCCAGATTAGAGAGATAATTAAATTTCCCAAACAGACCAGTTTCAATTAACATAATAATGAAGTTCCCTCCACTTTAGCATTAATCCTAACCCACACATAAAAAAGGTAACTTGAAGTAATCTAATGCTAACCAATCAGATACCAATCAGATATTTTCCTATTGTTCTACCTCTGTGTCCCCACCTTATCAAGAAAGCAACTTTGAAATGATAGATCCACTTTTGATTTTTGTTTCTTCAAGCCCTTGTCTGTTTATAAAACCTAACACCTTTGCTCAGACCATTAGAGCACTTATTCTAGTTTTTATGGAATGAAATCTTTCCTGTGGGAGACCACCTTGCATGTGACTTGAGTTAAATCCCCTGCTTGGCGATGTGACCTAAGGCACCCATGCTGCTAGACTGCCCCGCTTGGTGGAGCTAAACTCACCTATTCCTTTGTATTATTACCCCTTGCCCTGTTTAGGGTAGAATCTTCCATGGAAGTGCCTTGTGTGTGTCCCCTTCTCTCACTGTGCCCTTGGGTGTGACCTACCCACATGTGTCAACCTGCTGACAGTGGACATCATGCAGATAAACTCAGCCCCCCCAAACATGATCCCTTGCCTCATTTGAATAGCTTCTCCTCAAAAAAAGGGGTCAGCACGTGCTCTCGCTCTCTCTCTTCTTGCAGACCCTTAAGGTCAGAGGAGCCATCACAGCGACCCCAAATAAAAAGGTATTTGTGTCTCTTGTGTGGTTATTTTGCGCAGCCCAGTCATCCCAGTTTACCTGGAGTGACCCCTGAGCCTTTTAGTCGCGAACAGAAACCCAGCACTTTCCCAATGCTAGAATTAAAAATAAAGCCAATTAACATCTTTAAAAATTGTGGGTCAGACTGTGGGTCTTTGACAGGATGGCAGCAGAGAATGCCCCAACCAACCCTAGTGATCTGGCTGCAGAGCCCCATCTTACACAGAAGGCTCATCCTCTGGCATTCCTACCCCATAAATGAAGCCGCCATCCATCTACCCAACCACCCAACTAGGAGAAGGGAATCAGCTCCCCCCATTCCCATCCAATCAGTCATTCAGTCTTGTTAAGTGAGGGTACCTCTTAGATCTCTCTGGAATCCTCCTCATTCCTCCTCATACTGCCCTAACTCAAACCTCCCTCATTTCTCAGCTGAGTGGCTACAAGACCTTCTCACTGTTCTCTTCCTGGAATCTTTCTCCCTCATCACACAGAAAGACTAGAATGAAAATCTGACCAAGTCAGTCTGCTGATTAACGTCTTTCAGTGCCTTACAAAAGACCAGGAAAAGTTCATGATCTGACCCCTACCTTCCTCCTCAGTTTCTCCCAGAGTCCTCTGAACACAGCAGACACAGTAACCACTGTGCAGATTCTCAAGGTCCTGAGCTCTTCTAACTAGAACATTCCTACCTTGTATTTCAAAACTCATCCTGAGAATCACCTTCTCCAAGAGGCTTACACACCTCTAACCTCTCCTCAGGTTGTATACCTGCCCCTCCTTTGTGGTACTAAAGCACACTGTGCATATCTCAATAATAGAACATACCTCAGGATTTTATGTTGATTTAATGGCTTCCCCTCTGCTTAGACTGTGAGCCCATTGAGGGCACAGACCACGTGGCCCTGGCACGTTATATATTGCGAGCACATATCAAATTTCCCAAACAGACCAGTTTCAATTAATATACAAACTGGATCTTCAATGAACACTACAAATTAGATCAAATACAGGACTAGAACTGTTCTCCACTGTTCTCCAAGATGCAGCTGGAGGCTAGATCTCTGCCCTTTGGCTTTTCACCATAGAAAATGCATTTCTAAGCATCCTTTTCTACCACAATTCAAAGAATAATAGCTCCTTACTCTAAAGATCTATGCCATTTTCTAGCAGAGTTCAGACTCTAGTGTTAAGAATTCAGTGAGCAATGTGTAAGACATAATTACCCTTTTAGTGAGCAGGTGAGGCAATTCCTCTTCTGTAATGCACTCTTCTGGAATCTTGAGCATGATGAAGAATGTTTTGTTTGATGATATCTCAAATATTTCATTTTCATCTTCATCAATATAAGTTACTAAAAAGTGGAGGGGATGAAAATTTTAAAAAGAGAAGTAAATACTTGACTAAAATAATAAACACTGATTCTGTTGCCTGCTATACTTAAACATAACAACGAATACTCATCAAGGATAAAGCTAAACACCAGAAATGCTTTCTCTGAAGAATAAAAACCAGGAGCTTGCTTCTGTTACGATTAAAGGTTGATTTGTTTTATGCCCAAAAAGGTTTAAGAGGCCATCAAATACAGACTGGAGGAAGAGCCAGCGGAAAGAAGTGGAAAGAATGTAAACTTCATTAGGTTCAGAGATGTAGGCTGGTGCTGGGAGATGGCAGGGGGTGCTGGGACACAGGAAGTCATAGCAACCAACTTCATTGAACCCTCATCCAGTGCTGTGTTATCAAAGATCAAGAAGAAGTGATATCAGGCACAAGAATGGAGGAGACACTAGAAAATGAGCATGTGAGCCCAAGTCTTAAAGTCTTCCCAGCAGACAGTGCCCATGAAGTCATCACTCTAGCTTGGATCCCACAGGAGAGCAATGTTGACGCACTCTATTTGCAGAAGGGAAGCCAAACTGAGCCCCGGGGCCAACAGGAGTTAAGTTTCTGGGACAATGAGCTCTGTGTTGCCTGTGTCCTAATGAAGGCTAGCTAATTAATTTTTAAGTAGAGCCGAAGGAAAAAAAAAAAAAAGCACACAAAATCAGCAGCCAGAAGTTGGCACTCAGGTAGTCATTACGCTATGCACGGAATCCATGCCAGCCTCACCAGCTGGCCCCAAACAAGGGACCACCACTCTGCTCTGAGAAAGGCATGGGTGGGAAGAACCAGGTGCTCGTAAATGCTCCCCTCGAACCCCATGCTTCAAACATAACAAAATGAGTCTCTTTTACTGGACTTGGAAAAGCTGTCGTGGAAGAAGTTCAGTGTTTATGAGAGAGCAGGTAAGAAGCAAGAATCCTGGGACTTGTTCCCTGATGGAATTTAAAAACTGTGATGCCTCAGGAGCAAGGGACCTGAAGAGTTAACACAGCAGGCCTGAGGTGGCTCACCTGCCAAGGAATGCTTGGAGCTGGCTCCTGGCTGGTGTCTGGAAACTAAGATTTGGGGAAGGTTCCTACATCCTGGCTAAGAGCGGCCCACTGTGCCTCAAATGTTCATTGTATGAACAATGTGGCTGACATCTCTTTTCTTTCTGGAGTCTGGAGATTTTGCACATGTGTGCTAGACTGCCTATGTGATCAACTCTTAGTGAAAACACTGGGCACTGAATGTCTAATGAGACCCAGGCGGTCTAAGTAGACCAGACTTCACATGTGTACATAACCTATTGCTCTAAGTAAGTAGGTCCCGTGCAACACAACTGGGGGAGAAATCTTTCAGGCTTGCACCCAGCTTCCTCTAGAGTTCACTGTAATAAATCTTTTTAATTCAAGGTACCATGTTGCTATACTAAATTATAGTCATTAGTTCAACTATATGCTGAGGCCTGTGAAATCCTAAAAAAAAAAAAAAAAAATCACTGAATCCAGGAATGAATTTTGGCAACTCCAAACAAAATTATCCCCGCATCTTTATTTGTTATAAACCATGTTTTATTTTACTTGACAATAAAAGCTGGGCCCTCGTAATGGAAAATTTGCAAATAACAGGAAATTTTTGTAAAAAGGCAAAAAAAAAAAAAGACTGATTATCTAATCCCCACATTTTCTATTGTATATTTGAGGTTTTAATGAGTAGGTCATTTACATCCTGCTTTTTGTTGTGTGTGCTATGGTTGCTCATTTGTCTTGGTTCTTCTGTTGTTGCTAACATAGGCAAAGTCATTCCCAATGTGCATGAAAGTCCTTGCAAAGACTATTTTAATGGCTCCATAATGCTCAGAATAGGGTCATGCACTTTCTTATATATGACATTTGATGTTTTCAGCTTTCACTGTTATAAATACTTCCTCATGCAGTAGTTAGCTCTGTACCTACATAGATTTCTGTAGCAGACATCAGTGTCTCAGAAAGGAACTAGGTGACACTGGAGGACAGATCAGAGATTCTAATAACTGCCAAACTCAAGGGCATGAAAAAGAGAAGCCAAGTTCAAAAAGAGGGCTCCAATATTAGCTCTTAGGACATATACTTAACTTACAGCACCTAAATAATGAATCTGCAACAGGACCTAGCTAAACAGTTGTGTTTCTCAAAATTCAAATACTAACAACAACAGACTTACCCAGTCAGTAGAGTTTTTAATGTCACTAATGAGACTTAAGTTGGACAGTACTGTCCATGTAGAGAAAATAGGTTTAAAAAATTCATAAAAACATACACAAGTATGTGGGAGAAGCATGACAGCTCTTCAGTGGGAATACAAAACATGAAGCTGGAGTGGAGGCCTTAAATATTCGATGACATCAGGGAGTAATAGAGGGTTGTTAGAAGTCTCCCAGGAAGAAAGTAGAGACTAGCATTTGCAGGAGGTTAATATGGTGGTCACTGGTGGGATGAAATGGAACTGGGAGAGACTGGAAGCAGAGAGGCCAATAGGCACTGATTTTGACTGAGAGTGGTGGGAAAAGGCAGGAAAGCAGGAAGTCAGAAAGGAGGGAGAAAAGCAAGGAAGGAATTGGCTTTACAGGTGGTCAGACTCTGTTTGAACCTCAGCCCTATTATTTACTAGTCAAATGAACAATTTACTTAAATCTCTGAAGCTGTTTTCTCAACAAAATATCACCTACATTGCAGTTGATGGTAAAGATGAGAACTAATGCAAATAAAATATCCAGCAGAGTGCCTTGCAGGATTCGGGACAATTGCTAACATGATACTATCAAGGAATGATAGATAAGATTTGGTCAATACCTAGACATGTAGCAGAAGATATGAAAAAATGGTTCCAAGATATCCAGCCTAGATACCTGGAAGAAAAATAGCTACTGTATTAAGAATTAAGTGCAAACTCTCTGCTATACATTTTATAGATATTACCTCATGTAATCTTCACATCAATCCAACAGATTAAATATTATTTTTTTAATTTTTTTATTCTAATTTGTTATATATGACAGCAGAATGCATTACAATTTATATTACACATATAGAGCACAATTTTTCATATCTCTGGTTGTATACAAAATATTCACACCAATTCTTGTCTTCTTACATGTACTTTGGATGTTAATGTCCATCACATTCCACCATCATTTCTAACCCCCTGCACCCTCCCTTCCTCTCCCACCCCTTTGCCTTATCTAGAGTTCATCTAATCTTATCATGCTCCCCCTCCCTATCCCACTATGAATCAGCCTCCATTTTATCAGAGAAAACATTTGGCATTTGGTTTTTGGGGATTGGCTAACTTCACTTAGCATTATCTTCTCCAACACTACCCATTTTACCTGAAAATGTCATGACTCTGTTCTCTTTTATTGACGAGTAATATTCATTGTGTATATATACCACAAGAAAAATAGCTACTATATTAAGCATTAAGTGCAAACACTCTGCTATACATTTTATAGATATTACCTCATGTAATCCTCACATCAATCCAATGAGTTAAATATTATTATTTTTGTTTTTAAATGAATACTTTGAGGCTTACAGAAAATGCATATTTTGTTCAGGTCAATGAGCTAGAATGTCTTAGGGTATAGGTAGATCTATATATAGACTCAGGTTGAATGATCTCTTGGCCTAAAGTTACACACCTTGGGGGGAGCAGAGTGTTTCCTTCAGAAACCTGGTCTCCTGATTCACCTTACAACTAGCAGGCAGTGAACTGGGGAGGAGCACATGCTCTGGTCTGAATGTTTATGTCCCCTCAAAAATTAAATGTTGAAACCTAATCACCAACGTGATCATCACAAGTGGGCTTAGTACCCCTATAAATGATGCCCCAGAGCACTGTCCCATCCCTTCCACCAGGAGGTACAGAGCTGGAAGGTGCCACCTAAAAAGTGGGCTCTCACCAGACACCATATCTATCCACTGACACCTTCACTTTAGATGACTCCTCACCCTCCAGAACTGTGAGCCATAAACTTCTGTTGTTTACAAGTATTTTATTATAGCACCCGACACTGACTTAGAAAGGAACAAAACTAGTAGTTTCATATGGATAACTAGTAGTTACATCAAGGTAGAGATCTCTAGTAAAAATATCTCAAAAACTGAAGAAAATTGTGCAGATGTACTCCTAGGAGTTTCCTCCTAAAGAGGAGATGGGTGATGCCCTGGGATTTCTAAGAGAAAGAATAAAAAGTATGAAAATCAAAAACAGTTGAAGATAAACCTCATGGACCCATAAGGCAGAGAGACCAAAAGCAAAAATAGCAAAAAAGAACTAAAGTCCAGGTGTTCTGTAGATTCAGAGGAATACAATGTAGTTGCCAGAACTGAAGGCTTCAGCCAGGACAGAAGACAATGAAAAGGTTGGATTTTGTATTCAGACAACTGCTAGTGACCTTGGGAAGAACAATTTGGTACCAACGGATAGAAGAGGTTTAGGAGAATCTCTTTCTAGAAGTTCGCCAGTGCAAGAAGAGAGAAAAAAAAAAAAATATATATATATATATATATTTAAACCCAGTAGTAAGAAGCCTGTAGAAGATTGCTTTGAAGGAGAGATAAAGAGTAGAAAGGAACCTGACAAGGTGGAAATATCTGCAGGTCTTTGGGAGAGAAGCCAGGTGTATTCTGTGAAGATAACAGGCAAAGAATTTGGTTTTGATAAGGTGAAAAAAAAAAAAAACAGAGATTTGAAGAAAAGACAGATGAAAAAGCAAAGAAATGTCAAGGTCGTGGGTCTACAGAGATGCTATCATGTTCCTGCCCCAAAGGACATTTGCATCTCAGAGCTTGCTAAAGCTGTCTGCCTAGGATTTCCTCATGAGTCACCAGACTCCAGGGGGAACTGCCCTGTGAAGACAGTCAGTCAACAGGCCAGGACCACGTGATAGCAAAATATACAGCTCTTATTCTCAACTGAAAGGTAAAATGAATCCATTCAACACAGAGTCACTTAGAAAGTCCCTGCTTATAACTCAGTACCACAGCATTTCTTCCCATGGAAGGGCCTATAAATTAAGAGATCTAAAGGATCAGAAAAGAATCTGTCGTGCTGGGAGGGATTACCTGAAGGCTCCAAGAGTGCTGTAACTTGTTATCCTATTTTTAAACATCCATCTAAGTTTTGTATTAGTAAAAAGTTGCTCAGGGTCTCTCTCTGCCTAAAGAAAGGAGAACTCTCCACCCCCCAGCCCCCACCACTTGAGGATGCTTAACTGGTTCTCCAAATTATCCAGAAACAAAATTACTTTGAGAGAAAGAGGAAGGCTTTTTAAAAACAAACAAACAAAAAAAAACTTTACCCTTGACACGAAGAAATTTTAATACCTGGGGGGAGAAGGAGAGAGTCCATTAATATTTTTTCCCTACCATACTGGTCTAAAACAGGCCTCCACACTCAACAGGATAACCTGGGCTCTGACCATAAAATTGGCTGTTTAAAAAAATGCCAGCATCAGCTCAGTATGGAGGAGCACTGGCCCCTTTTCCCCAGTGTGTAAACAACAGGTACTCCATGCCTGAGTTAAGCCATGACCCTGAATCTGCCATCCCACTGGCAGGAGTGGGGAGCCCAGCCCAGTGTAAGCAATAGGGGTGCACAGTCTGTAGATGATCAGCAACAGTAATAAGACTGACTAGGTCTTATTGCTTACTTAATTTCTGAAGGTCACCTCCCCACTAGACACTGTGCCCTATGTACCCCACTGTCCCCTCCCCAACTAGTTACCCTTCTGTTCTGGGGTGCATTTAATGCCGTGTTCTGTGTCAGCACAGTTATTACCAGCTCTGCCTGCCAGTCTGGTGGGGGATTACAGAGCCTAGAGACAGGAGATTAAGGGGTTTGGAGGAGGAAAAGCAGGAGGCCAGTGGCAAATAGAGTTGCAGAGGAATCTCAGTCTCTTAATGAATCCAGACAGCCAGAGGCACAACCCTCTACCTTCCCAATACTGACCCTTTCCCAGACAACATATTCCTCCCAGTACCGGGGAATTCTGCAAGTATTTGATTCATACCCATGGATTGGCAATTAGACAGCAGCTGAGTATTGCAGATTATCATCCCAGAACTCCCAGAGAGCTGCTTTTTAGGGGAGGCTGGGACTATCACCTCTTCCACCACTTTTTAACCTATTGCATCTATCCTCTCCCCACTAAAATTTCTTCCCTGAATTTTGACTGAGTGGCAAAGTGACCTCAATATAATCTTGAAATCCTAAGATTAGGTTACAAGACTATTTTTTAAAAAATGATCTCAAATTATTTTTTAAATGTAAGAAAGCAAAAGACTTCAAGAAAATATAACAAAATATTACTAATATGAATGGGTTTTATGGGTAACTGAAAAGGTTTATTGTTTATTGTTGTTGCTGTTGTTAATTCAAAGCCTTTTAGATATGATTTTTTTTCAGTCTGCCATGACTCTCTCTGCAGGCCTGAACACCTGAAGGTTGAGATGGCAAGTAAAACTCTCACAGCATTAACATATGTTAAAAGACAAATTTACAATCAAACTAAAAAGAAAGTTCGAATTACAAGTGTTCAAACATTATTCTCTGAATACTATCCTATGATCTTTCATGTCTCCAGAAAAATTGAGGGAAATGTAATATCTATCTTTGCAGATTATTCTTTACGAGTTGAAGAGGTCAGACAATTTTAAGAATAGAAGACAAATTTTTGGATGTTATGTTTTAGAATCCTAAATATTAAATCACCAAGATCTGCCTTGTTTTAGGACACAGATGCTACCGGATAAAATTAGTAAACTTCCAAGGTTGCACCAACTAGTTGGGATAGGACAGGACTGAGTGACTCAACCTCAGTTTCAACATCCACACGTAGGAGCCCATGTGAAGAGAGAAGGCCAAAGATTACATCCAGACTATGGTCCTCAGCATGACAGAGGAGATTTGGCACCTCTTATTAACTCTTCCAACTTAAAGCCAGCTCAAGGCCTCCAAGAATCATCCATCCCTCCTAAACAATGCTTTATCCTGACGAAATGTAAAAGTTGAAAAAATAAATAAAATTATTATTGTTTCTAAGTGATATGATTTCATACCTGGAAACCCAAAAGAATAAAATGAGATTCTACCATAAAAAACAAAAACAATGCTTTAGATACCTAAGTAGACAAGGTGCCTGCCTGAGAAACTCAGATGCGGGAAGTTGGCTGATGTCATCCAAGTTTTATTATTCCTTCAGGGACTATGAAACCTTGGGCAGAAGATTAAGGGGACAACAGGAGGTGGAATGGCAAATGTACCTCCTGAGGAAGATTCCTATCAAGCCCCTGGGAAGAGACTCAGGAGCTCTCTCTCCATTTTTGCTCATTCCATAGCTTGACTCCACCCGAATGCTGGCAGAGGCCAGATCCCACAAAGGTAGATTTCAGGTCTAGATGTGCCCCTCAGAACTGTCACCCCATGTATAAAAAAACAAAACTATTGTCTTCTTTCCTATTTTGAAAAAGAATTAATTGCCCATTGGACATATTTGTGCATCATAAAAATTTTAATAATATCATTAACCATATCAATTTGGTAATGCCCTCACACACAGGCTTTAAAATGGTGTAGAAGACTATATCATGAACCATTTAAAAAACATGATGCTAACAGAAAATTTCTAATGACTTGCCAAAATTATCTTAATATTACTATTAAAATTCTAAAGGTACACCATGAACTTTATAAAACTTGATCTTAAATTATTTTAAAAATGCAAGTAATAAAAAGACTAGAAGAAAATATAACAAACTATTATTAATATGAATGGGTTTTATCAGTAACTGAACATGTATTATTTTTTAATTCAAAATAAATAATAAAATAAGAAAGAATATGTAAAGCATATCATTCACAAGATATAATTTTTCTTTTATACATGCATAAAACAAATATAAAGTTATTTCTAAAATAAGTTAAAGACAGCTCATAGACATATAGATCCGTAGTTCTTTTAAAACTCAAATTCATTACTCAATATTTTATCATTATAAAAATATATCAAATATACCCAGTGAACTTGATAATTATTTTTATTGGACATATTATAAGAACAAAAAGAACTTTCAAACAAGCAAATACTGAGATGCAAAAACATGTAAATTAGTGTAAGTTAAAAACATAAGAAACGTCTTCAAGATCTAATGGTCAGAATTCAAAGCAAAATACTGCTCTCCATACTCCTTCTGGAGTTTATAAAACAAACCAACAAAATATAATAAAAAACAAAAGCATGCATATCTTCCACCAACTCAATGCAAACCAATTTTCAACTCATGTCTTAAGTAGTGAAATAGCAATGAATACAGTTTCCATTTCAGATTAGGTCACAAGCATTAAGCAAAAATGTGTCAACTTAGTCACGTTGAAATCCTCTTACCTCCACTAAGACATAAACCAATGATGATCACTAAAATGAGACCCAGGAAGATGGAGGTGATGACCATCCACAGTTTACACTTGCCGACCAACTTCTTATTGCAGGAGCTCCAGGGACTTTCCTTCTTGGCCTAGAAAGCAAAGTGAGACTGTGAGGCAGTCATCTGATTTCAAACAAATATTCTCCAATAACCTGTTAGGGTCAGCAACACAGAAATGAAGGCAGCAGGATCCTGACCTCTGGACCTACACTCTACTGAATTAAGTTTATGAAAAGATATATAGGAGGCAGAATGGAACCTCACGAAGAAGTTAGCAAGAAAATACTCTGGGGGCTCTGAGACACGGAGGATAGGCGGGATTTTGAAAGGTGAATTTTTTTTTACAGTTTTTTAAAATATATTTTTAGTTGATCCATAATAATTATAAATATTGATGGGGTTCAATGAGATAGTTCAGAACCTGTGTACAATATGTAATGATCAAATCAGAGTAAATGACGTATTCATCATATCAAACATTTATCACTTCTTTGGGTGGGTATGTTGGGAATACTGAAAATTCTCTCTGCTAACTATTTTGAAATATACAATAAATTGTTATCAACTGTAGTTACCCTACTGTGTCATACAGAACATTAGAAAGTTATTCCTCTGGTCCAACTGCATTCCTCCTGCACCTGATAACCACCCTCTCTCCCCTTCACCTTTCTCAAACTCCAATAATCATTATTCTACTCTCTATTTCTATGAAATCATTTTTAAGCTTCCACATATAAGTAAGAATGTGCAACATTTGTGTGAAAGATGGACTTTTGAAGGCATTCCAAAGGCAAGGAAGAGCAACCATGGTGTTGATTCGTAATGGAACTGGCCAACATATTCCAAGGCTTGGGATTAAATTAGAGATAGTGAAGGGCTGGAGGCTACGCCAGAGGATTTGATTGCTGCCAGAACAAATTGTATTTGATTTGGTATGCACTGGTGACCTGTTGAAGGTTTTGGAACCCTGAGCTGAGTTGAAAATTAAGAGGAAAATCATGTATCATTGAATTGGATACACCAAGAAAAAACTAAAAGGTTACTATTGTAGTCCAGATGCTACACAAAAAAATAAATAAATAAAAATTTAAAGAATTAAAAAAAAAAAAAAAGGTCTGTGAAGGAAAATAAGGATCAGAAAAGGTACAGAGGAAATAATCTGCAACGTGTAAGGCAGAATGTAGGGTCAGAGAAAATAATCACAGCTGCTTTGGTTTACTGAGCACCTGTGTCATTTCACTTAATCCTAACAACCCTTCAAGGTATGCATTGGCCTGTTTCAAACATGCAGTTCAAGGAGATTAGGCAAGATTAATCCCTGGGGAGTGTCACAGCAACACTCTGGCACCCTCCCCTTTGTGTGCAGCCTCCCAGCATGGCTGAGTGGAGCTTCAGATCAGGAGCATGCCCCGCTGCCCTAGTGGGGCCCATCTGCCCCTCTACCTGCCCCTAAATGGTTCTGTGAGTCTTCTGTTTCCCACTGCACCATTAGGGAATTTCTACATGGAAACCATGGGAAATGATAGAATATAGACAGGAGAAAATGTGTTTCCGCATTTCACGCACTTGGATTTCAATCTGAGGAACATCACTTCCAGGCAGGGGGCGGATACTTTGAGCAAGCCCAGGAAACCTGCAGGCCCCAAAGTCTTCCACCTTAAAATATAGGCGCTTCTCCATTGATGATGAGGATACACCCCACCAAACCTATCATAAATTGAAAACACTGTAAAAAACACATCTAATACATCTAACCTAGCTGAGTACCACAGGACTCTGTAAGTATGAGTTATTCATCATCATGATTGTGTCCCTGTGGCCGACAGAGAGCTGCCGCTGCCCAACTTCACAACAGAGTATGATACTTGCATATCATACCAAGAAAAGATCAAAAGTCTAGTTCACGTTCCCACCACCAACATAGAGGATTCCTTTTTCTCCACATTTTTGTCAGCATTTGCTATTCGTTATTTTAATAGTGATCATTCTGACAGGCATGAGGTGGAATCTCAATGCAGTTTTGATTTGTAATTTCCCAATGCCTGAAGATGTCGCAATATATTTTCATGTATTTACTGGCCTCTTGTACTTCTTTTGAGAAGTGTCTGTTAAGATCATTTGCCCACTTTTTGAAATCGGATTACTTGTTCTTTGGATGTTAAATTATTTTAATTCTTTATATATTTTGGATATTAATCTTCTGTCAGATGATTAGCTGACAAAGATTTTCTCCCATTCCAGGGGTTGTCTCTCCATTCTGTTGGTTGTGTCTGTGTGGAAGCTTTTTATTTGATGTCATTCCATTTGTTAATTTTTGCTTTTTATTTCCTGAATTATTGAAGTTCTATTCAGGAAACTCCTGCCTGTGCCTAGATCTTGTTTTCCCTTGGTAGTTTCAATGTTTCAGGTCTTACATTAGTTTTTCAGTCCATTTTGAGTTGATTTCTACACAGAGTAAGAGAGAGACCATTATGGAAAACAGTATGCAAGTTCCTCAAAAAATTAAAACTAGAACCATATGATTCAGCCAAACCTACTCCTGGGTATACACCCAAAGGAAATGAAGTCAGCATACAAAAGAGACACTTGCATATGTATCTTTATTGTGGCAATATTCACAATAGTAAGTTACAGTATAAACCTAGGTGCTCAGCAACAGATGAGTAGATAAAGATAATATGGTACATGCAAACAATGGAATATTATTCAGCCATAAAAAGGAATGAAATCATATCCCTTTTTGAGAAAATTGATGGAACTGGAGGTCATCACATTAAGCAAAACAATCCAGACCCAGAAAGACAAGTATCTCATATTTTCCCTCAATATGGAAACTATAACAAAGAAAAACCAAACAAAAAAACAATGATCTGAAAATAAGAAAGTAGAAAAGGGACTATTAGGGAAGGGTAAGGAGATGGGGTGGTGGGAGTGGGAGTGGGGAGGTCCAGAGAAGGCAATAGGGAGGGTGGATATTATTAAAGCACAACATGTACACATATGAAAATGTCACCATGAAACCCATTGATTTGTACAATTAACATGAGTTACTATTTATAATATTTTTTTAAAAAGGTCAAAAGTCTAAAATATAAAACCCAGTTTCCACTGAAAAATCCTAAGTGGAACCTTAAGTCAGATAATATTTTGTATGTAAATACTAAATTTAGCTCACAAATCTGAAAACTAGAGATAAAATACACAAAACATATGCTAGACCAATATTAAGCTTTTATTTATGATTTGGATGTGGAATGTTCCCCCAAAGTCTCCTGTGCTGAAGGCTTAGTCTGCAATGCAGCAGTGTTCAGAGGTGGGGCTTTTAGGAAGCAATTAAATCGGGAGGGCTCTGACCTCATCAGAGGATTAACCCATGGATAGCTGCATGGACTTCGGAGAGTTGGTATTAACTACAGGCCGATGGGCCGCAGATAGAGAAAGTAGGTCACTGGGGACATGCCCCTCGGGACTAAATTTTCTTTCTCTCTGTCTCTCCTTCCTGCTGCCTTCCGCCATGATGTTTCTGCCTTGCAGCAAGTTGATCAAGAACTAAAACCTCTAAAACCATGAGCCAAAATAGATCTTTCCTCCCTGAGTTGTTCTTGTCAGGTATTTTGGTCACAGCCACAGTACTCAACCAAGGGGAGCAATCCCCTCTCAGAGTGCCCACCTGTTCTACAAAGCAGCAGCAGGCACTCCAGGAGGCTTACGCCTGAACTGACACTTGTTTATATTCACTCTTCTCCTTATTTTGATGATGGCCATCAGAAAGGAAACCGTTGGTCCTCATTAGGAAGGACTACATATCAAACGTCCTTACTGAGAGGTCCCCCAGCCTGGCTGCACAGTAGAATCACATGGGGAAGATTTTCACTGACACACACCCAGGCACCAAGCAGACTGGACTGTCATTTCAAACCTTCCATAGTGAATCAACTGTTTTAACAGAATTGAGCCACCCCCCCCCCCACCACCCCTGGTCTGAAACTTCCTACCCACTATTAGGAACACTTCCCAGTACACGTGCTGTCCCCGCACCTCATCTGATGCTGCTGCTGATTGTGCTGTGTGGTTTCATGTTCAAATGCAAGCAGGATGCCCTTATCTTCCTAGGTAAACCACACAGAGGGAGGGGCAGTTCTTGAACTTCCCCATTCTTATGTTCCACAGTGTACCTCCTACAGGTAACAGGCACTTAATAAATGTGTGCAAAAAATTTAAGGACGTACTTTGAGAAATTCTAGAAGAAGGGTCAAATGGCAGGCTCCTAAGCACTGGTTTTTGAACCCAGTGTGTCCTAGGAGGACGAGGATAATGAAGGCCCTGGGAATCTGGACAGAGGAATAGCTCTTTAGCTAAGTGTTTGTGGAGTCCAGGGATAGGGCCACCTCTCACCCTGACTCAAGTCTGAAGAATTTCTCCAAAGCCACCAAAGAAAGGGCTCACAAAGGCACAGGGGCCAAGAAGTCCTGGTATAAGGAATCCTTGACCTCGCGGGACAGAAACATATCTTCCTAGTTACAGAGCTCCAGAATTGTCCGAAGCTCTTTTTTTTTTTTTTTTTTTAAACAAGAGGCAACCAGGCCATAAAGATTAGCACAACAGGAAATGACCTCAAATGAGCTAAAAATGAGTGCTGATCATTCTTGACACCCACATTTGCCTTCACTGTGCTGTTCCTTAGAGGTCATAAATTGGGACTCTGGCAGTTTAAAAGACCAAATACTCTGCTTTTCTGGAGGAAATTAGCTAAAAATTACACAGCCCTCCTCTGTAGGAAACTCCTATTCCTGCCCAGCCCAAAGCTGCCTTCCTACAGCCTAGCACTCTTCCTTGTCCTCTCCACAGCCCTGATAGGGGGACCACTGATGGCTGTCCCCTGCATGAGTGATCTTCACAAGCTTGAAGTCATTAAAAAACAATGGTGTATCAGCCACTTCCAACCAAACAATAGAGTGCAGTGCTTCTTGACTGTTTGCACATTAGAATCGACCCTGGGATCAACATCTGTTAGAAGTGCCCCTGGAAGTTTGCAGAAGAACGTGTGATACAGTAGGTACCATCCTACATATGCTCAGTCTCTGTCCTGAAAACGGGATCCCAAGGTCATGCTGCCTCCTTCTCTGGCTTTTCATTCTCTCTTCACCAAATTCTAGGTCATGAGAGGTCACAGGCAGATTCTCCACAGGTGCCTTCCCGAGATGCTTACGAATGACACCTTGCATTCTATTTGCATTATATGGCTCCAAAATTTGGGCATCTTTCCTCTGAACACTCTCCCAGATATTCACATCCCTCTTCCTGTAAAAGTCTAAATAGGTGGCACTGGATTCTGGAGAATGGCAGGACTACCTATCTCTTTGATCCAAAAAGCTCTTCTTTTTTGCTCAAGCAGAAGCAGATACATAAATCAGGGAAATTTTTCTTAGTAAATAGGAAAATTGTGCTTATTTGGGTGGGGAGTTACTGGGGATTGAACTCAGAGGCACTCAGCCACTGAGCCACATCCCCAGCCCTATTTTGTATTTTATTTAGAGATAGGGTCTCACTGAGTTGCTTAGCACCTTGCTTTTGCTGAGACTGGCTTTGAACTCATGATCCTTCTGTCTCAGCCTCCGGAATCACTGGGATTACAGTGTAGAAACTATACCTGGTAGAAAATTGTACTTTTAATCTTCATTGTGACATTTAATCTACTTTTTTTTTAATCTGAACACAAGAGTCATTTGATTCTTGTCCTTCAGTGAACAGATTATAGTAATGGGACTGTCAGCTAACCCAAGTAAGTATGACTTGCTTGCCTCAAGACTATCAATGTACTGGCTTATTATTATTCTAATGATGCTACCTCACTAATAATGTCTGAGACTTCTCAGTCAGAACTCCTCTAGTGAGCTATGCAAGAAAATCAGTGTCACTCTGTTACCTACAATCTATTTTTTCACTTTTGTCCCAATGATACTGACATGTTTATAGAGACAAGAGACAAAGTGAAGTTCAATGGCTAATATTCCTTTTCCCCAAGCACCAGACTAAGAGAAAGTTCTTTATACTGCCTCTGTATAGTCCCCTAGCCCTGCTCTTCCAAGTAGAAAGATACCCATGATATAGAATGTCATCCTCCCAGGGATTCCTGAACTGTTCTTTACTCCCAAATCCACTCACCCATCCACCTGCAATTCCCTCATCCATCAGACATACCACTCAGCTCCTCATATTTTACTTAAATTCCTTAATTATGAGGGATCTAACTTATAGAAATGAGTAACACTATAATTTATAATTTTGGCAACTATAATTGAGTATAAATCATGTTATATTTATACATTTCAATTCTGGATAAATGTGTTAGAAACAACATATATCTGACACCTCAAAAACCTCAGAAATGTCAGAAACACCACTGAGTTGAGCCTGAGTATTTTGGTAACTTCTCTGAATCTCCATTTCTTCACTCAGTTCCTTTATCTGTCAAATCAAAATACTGACACATGCTTCTTAAGTTTTGTTGTGATAATCAAATACATTCATGTCACAAGTATTTTGTACATAAGAGTTGTAGAACATATGCTTAATGAAAATACATGGATTTCAGCTACAGCTCAAAACTGGAAATCTTAATACAGAATGTAAACGCCTACACACAAAATCTTAAGTGTGTGAACTTTTCACTGTGCTAGCCAACATTTAATGACCCCACATGAATTGACTTTTCTAGTTGAAATACACTTCAATTTATTTTATTCTATAGAACCTGATTAACTAAAACACTCTAGGGTTTTTTTTTTTCTGTCCTTTCTAAAGTTTTAGCTGTTTAAGTATTTCTAGAATGCCTTCCAAGTTCCCATATAACACTTCACCTGCACTCCATTCTGTTGGTCAATGTGGTGTTCCTATTTGGTGACCTACAAAGCTAAATTACAAGGAGGTCTAGGATATCTGTATATACCTGACTAACAAGGAAGCCATTAAAACATGAAAAGGCAATCTCTACAAGGTGGGTGCTAAATAATTTGTAAGTGCTGATGGCCTACATGGATCGGGCAGGTTCTACTCCTCAGTGGTTGTTCACAGACACACCAGGTTTCCAGAAGCATGGATGCATTATATTACCATCATTTGACAGTCCTGCTACATATCTTCTATTGGTGAAGTTGCCACCAGAGCAATCTCAAACCAGGAAATCTTTGGGGTGAGCTGGGTCTAACCAACATAAGACAAGTATTCCCAATTCCCTGCCCTCAAGGATTCATATACCAAGTCCACCCTTGTGGCCACTTAGGCTAAAATTAAGCCATCTTTTCCAAACTTCATTCTTTTGTGGTCCCATTTCATTTAAACACAAGCTACCAACTTCCTCTCCAGGGTACCTATAAAAGCAGTCGTTCAGTACATGGAACTTCCAGGAATCAGTGCGGCACAAAAGTAATGCTTTCAACTTCTGAATTTCCTGTGTATCCCTAAACTCAACAGTTGGGTAGCCTCAGGGGTGGAGGTGGAGGAGTGGAGCCTAGGAAGTTCAGTTTTAAGTTATATATATGGGGAATTCCCTGCATGCTGTAAAACACAAGCCAGTCTCAGGGGTTAATCAGAAGATTCAGAATTCAAACTGATGCTTTAGAGTATTTGATGTGAATGAATAATGTTCCCATTGCTACTAAGGTTGAATCACCAGTAGATTAAAAGAGGCAAAACCAAATGAGGCTAGTCTAGTCCTTTGGGACAAGATCTTTGAAATTATTTCCCTATAACTAAAATTATTTCATCCCCACCCCATCTCCAGGCCAGCCCCAGCCCTTCTTGCTCTTGCTGCTTTGCCCCTTCCCCCTCCCCCTTATCTGTCTTCCTGTGGAATCTAAAGGCCGGCTGAGCTGGGAGAAAATACACAGTGTGTGGGGGATGGTAAGCCTGGATGGGAAAGTGAGGAGATTTGGGAGGGAGAGGGGGAAATGGTGAGATGGGAGCCCTGGAAGGAGTTAGGAGGGAGACGGAAGAGAATCTGGGGGTTAAAAAACAAACAAACAAACAAAAAAAACACCTATAACTCATTCTCCCTAATTGAAAAAAAGAAGGGGTAAAAACTAAATTAAAACTTGCATAACTTTTTAAAACCACCTATATCTCTGGAAATGCTCTCCTTGAAGAGAGAATTAGTAAAGTGCCATCTGGGTCGCAAAGGCCCGCGGAGTTTGAAGGGTCACAGGTGTCAGAGGAGCCTAAGGGTCGCGGAGCAGGCGGCGCGCTCTGACCAAAAGCCATTGGTGCCGTGGCGCCCCATTCAGAATATTCCAGTGCGCGTGACTCCGGTTCCTCGTCGGGGACGCCCGGAGAGCTCTCTGCAACCCTGACACCAGGCGGTTGCCAGGCTACTGTCCCACGATCACGGCACCGGCGCGTTAAGGGGACCTCACCTGGTCTGGGCTGGTGTCGTCGGCCGAAGCAGCCAGGACCTGGAGGGCTCCATTGAGAGGCGTCTGCTCGTCCCGCGGCTCCTGGAGCACCGAGAGCTCCAGGTCTTCTTCTGAGGATGAGGGCTTGGCCCCTTCCATGGGCCGGTTGAGAAGAGCTGAGCGGCTCCGCTGGGAGGCCAGACCGACACACCTGCGGGTGCAGAGTCCGCGGTGGCCTGCCGGGTTCACACTCCACCCAGCAGGCGGGGAGCGCCCGCCAGACCTCAGGCAGCGGGAGGGCAGGGAAGGGGAGGGAAGGGGAGGGGCGAGGCCGGAGAGTGGCGGCCCTGGGGCCTCGTGAGGCTTTCCTCGCTCCTGCAGGGCAGAGCAGCTCTGGGACTGTGCCCTGCTGTGGGCTCCTGAGCAGAGGAGGGCAGTTTTTCTGGTTTGTTCAGGGCGCTGTCTGCTGCACCTTTCCCTGTTGGTGCATACTCGTTTTAGAGCCAATGATTAGGAACCGATGGACTGGCAACTCAGTTGGATGAAAAAAGTTTGCCTTCTCCCCCTAGGAGTGGCCGTTGCTGGGGCTTACACCAGCCCTGGCTGCCTAGCAAAAGTTTATTCATTGAATTAAGAAACAACTATTGAAGCACCTACGTGATGCTAGGTTGAGAGCATAGGAAGATGAATAATACATACACTTCCTCCTACAAGTTCAGAGTCAGGCATAGAAACATTGTGGAAAGAGTGGCAGTGAGGACTACTGACTCCAAAACCAGTCGGCTGAGTTATTTCCAACTCAGAAGGCTCCTAACAAGGAGATCCCAGTGCCAGAGTGTCCTTATTTGGAAAGTGGCATATTAGTTCCTGCCTAAAGGAATGAATGAGTGAACATAAGTAAAACACTCAAAAAATCTTCAGAATGGCGACTGCACACAGCAAGCACTCAAAAATATTGGAGATTATTCTGTATCTTTGATGTGGGAAGCCACAGACAACCCCCCCCCAAGCCTGTGAAATAAGCAAATGCACACATGTACAAATATATGTACAACCTCCTCCACACCCAAGGTATAGTGCAAGACTTCCAGCTGGAATTATGTTTGCTAAGCATTGGGTGTTTGTCCAAAAGATCCCACCTCTCAACTTCTGTCAGACCCACTTGGCTTCCTCCTCCATGCTACCCCCACACAGGGAATCAGAAACCATCTATGTCAGAAGATATTTATTTGTGTTCAAAAGTCTGGCACCCTTAATGCCTATGTTCAGACACTTTGCCTCAATGTCCTGTTTTTAGTGGTCTGGCGCCTACTGCCAGAGCATCTGGACTTTGGACTCTACCTGCCTGCTGAAGTGGGGCTTGCTAGCTGCAGGGAATTCAGGCTAACCTGCTCTGACTTGGTTGTCTGCTTTAACAGGCAGATACTAAGGAAGTAGTCTGAATTTTTCAGACAGGGTTTTTGAATAGGCTTTTTAGAAGGAAAAGTTAAGGAGAAAACTGAGGTACCCAGGGACTAGCAATAGCATACAGTTGTTAGCACCCCTAGACTTAAAAAGTCCTGGAGCCTGATAAGAACTGGAACCACTATAGGGGGAGAAAAGGGTTCTGACAAGATCTGTAGTCGCAAAAAGATGCAGACCTGACTAGAAGCACCAAGAGTTCTCAAACCCAAACCCCATCCTTTACCGAGGGCCCCAACAACTTTCCTCATGGTTCCCTTCATTGATTAGAGAAGTTCAGTGTCAGTGGAAGACTGCCTGATGTCAGATGGATTGTAGCTGTCTCCAAATCTGGTTTCTCCATCCAAGCTTACAGAAAAGTCTCCTTCACACCCCAGAGCATCAGAAAGCAGCTGCTCCTGTCACAAGCCTCATCTCTTGATGCTTTTTTAGCACTAAGGAAGCAAGGTTTACATATTCCCTAACCTAGATTCCCTATGGGTTTGAGAGGAGTACAGGTCTTTTTTTTTTTTTTTTAATCTCTCCATTATTAACATCTTTTTAAAAATCTGTTCTAATATTAGATTATTCTAATATTAGAATATTAGATTTGACACATCATACTTTAATGGAGTATAACTTCTCATTCTTTTGGTTGTACATGATGTAGAACCAGTCGTGTAATCATATATGCACATAGGATAATAGTGTCCAATTCATTATACTATCCTTCCTACCTTCATGCCCCATCCCCTTCTTTTACTCCCCTCAGTCTAATTCAAAGTACCTCTATTCTTCCTTAGTCCCCTCTCTTTATTGTGAATTAATATCTGCATATCAGAGAAAACATTTGGCCTTTGATTCTTTGGCATTGGTTTCTTTCACTTAGCATGATATTCTCTAGCTCCATCCATTTACTAGCAAATGCCATAATTTCATTCTTCTTTAAGGTTGAGTAATAATATTTCCATATATATATAGATATATCACATTTTCTTTATTCATTCATCTGTTGAAGGGCACCCAGGTTGGTTTCATAGTTATGAATTGAGCTGCTATGAACATTGATGTGGCTGCATCACTATAGTATGCTGATTTTAAGTCCTTTGGTGATTGGGTGAAGTCTGCATGTTCAGCCAGGTTTTTCTTTTTTTTTTAA